CTCTTTCCTGACAGAGGTGCAGCCATGCTGTCTCTCGTTGGGAAGATCAAAAACTGTGAGGCATGCAGGGTCCTCAGCTCAGTGCCTGGCACACTGCAATGGGTCTAGTTATGATCATGGGCCCTTAGATCCTTCTGGATCAATATTCATACCACCCTACCCTTCCAATGACCTATGCTTCCCATGCTTTATATCCAGCTTCCCTCAACACTCACATTCCATGCCCGGCAAAACTAAGGCAGACAGGGAGGGCTTACCCAGTGTCCCAGCCAGTGTATTACGGAGGGCGAATCTCTCTGCCCCAGAGGATAGCGTGCTCCTGGAAAATTCTTCTGGTTCCCACTTCATGACTCCAGAGGTCTCCAGTTAGGTGACCCTTGGGGACACTTCCACTCCATCCTGCCTCGTCCTCTCTACAGTCATTCACATTTCTTATGGAGTCAAAGCAAAGCAGGAAGCTTGTCAGACTGGGCGGTGGTGGCACACACCTTTGATCCCGGCACTTGGGAGGTAGGTGGATCTCTGCTTTTGAGACCCAGCCTGATCTACAGAGTGAATTTTAGAACCACCAGGGCTACACAGAGAAAACCTATCCCCCAAAACAAAAACAAATTTGTCACAAGCCACATACTGTATGTTATAATCTGCTGGCCTGGTTTGTCACCTGGGTACCCTGTCCCTTTAAGAGACAATCCCTGCCTACTCCCAACACCCCCTTTCTGCTGAGGCAAATGGACCCTCTCTCTCTCACACCTTCTCTCTTACTCTCTCTGCCCTTCTTCTGCCTATCCCTTCTTTCCCCTTTTTCTCCTTCCCCCTTCTCCCCTTTCCTTCCCCCTCCACAACCCACTAAATAAACTCTATACCCAAACTCTCTCTCTGAGTTATGTATCTGTCTTTCACCTGCTGTGGTCTCCTACCCACCAAGGGGACCCTCTGAGGCTTCGGGTGGCCCACCACTGCCCCTTGTGGGACCGCTGCCCCCCCGTGGGACCAGTCCCCCACTACCATATGTTTAGTAATGATAACATTGGTGCTGTGACTCAGCCAGGCTCTCTCCACATTCTCTCCCATCTGTGGGTGAAGCCAGCTGAGGACATGTGGGGGACCCTGGACTCAGGACCATTTTCCAACACTTGGCAGGCTATCCTTTGCAGCTGAGGACTACTAGGGATCCTATAATCTTCTAACTCTTTTTCTATATGGTCTTTTTTCCAACTTAAAAATTGCTGGAATTCTTTTTATCTCTCTCTCTCTCTCTCTCTCTCTCTCTCTCTCTCTCTCTCTCTCTTTTGTTTTTTTTTTGAGACAGGGTTTCTCTGTGGCTTTGGAGCCTGTCCTGGAACTCCCTTTGTAGACCAGGCTGGCCTCGAACTCACCTGCTTCTGCCTCCCGAGTGCTGGGATTAAAGGCGTGCACCACCACTGCCCTGCAAAATTGCTGGAATTCTACAATCAACATCAAACGGTAGATTCCTTGCACATATCTGGCCATGCCTCCATGAGTATGCAACCACTCAGCAGAGGTTCCTCCGCGTAAAAACAGCCCAGTACTGGTCAACCACTGGCCCATCGAGCTTAAAGCCCCTCGCTCGGGCCTTTGGCTCCATGTGACAACGTAGGGGTTCAGTTTGTGCCCACCCATTCCCATGGCCTGGACTTTGAGTGATGACCCAAAGTTCAGCTTGAGCCAGGGTCCATGCTGAACTTCTGGGACACTGGAGTTTGGTCTCTGAATCTTCTCACTTTACTCATGGAGACTGTGCCAACCCATCCTCAGATATCAAGCTACATATCTGCCTATATATCAGCTTATATTCTGCCAGTGATTGCTAGTTGGAAATGCAGCCTGCTTTTTTATGTTTTTCTATCTGCTTTCTATTCCCAGCATGTAATCACACCCACACTAAACTGTCCTTCTCAGCTCATGGGCTGGGCTCTGGTTTCCTACTTGGTCCGCCATCGGCCCCCTACCTCATGCTGCCTCCCACCTCAGTGGCGGAATCTGTCTCTCTTTCATTCACACAGCCCTGTTTCTACCACTGCTACACTGTGGGCGAAAATCCTAAACCTGAACCTTCTAGCAGCTCACTTCCCAACTTTGTGTCAGTCCGCCAGGACAGTCGGTGAGACTGCTCCCTTTTAGGCTTAGAGCCTCTCGTACGCACGCACGCACGCACGCACGCACGCACGCACGACTGCCCTTTCTCGGGCTCTGCCCTAGCACTCCTCGCTGATCAGTGCATTCATTATTCGGGTCCACGGCCACTGGGACCTATGGATCCTTTCAGGGATACCGTTCCTTCCCTTCCGGCCTAGGGCCTTTCAGGCGACTGCCCTTTCTCATCTCTGTTATCTTGTGGACGAATGGATAATGGCCTGAGTCAGTTGTTTATTTTTCTGCCTCACCCATGGGAAACGGGCTGACACTTCTAACTTCCACCAGTGCACGGCTAAATTTAAAGAGTTACACCACATGGACAGCCATGGCTGCTGCCATTTTCTCTGAGCTTAACAAAGGGAGGAGCTGGAGGTCCCCCCCCCCCCAGCCAAAGAATGCAGGCAGCAGGCTCTCCACGTGATCATGGTCCCTGCTCCTAGCCAGCTTCCTCTCACTTTTTATTTAACTTTATGCGGAAATTAAATTCAACTGTGTGTAAATGTATGCATTCTTACTGTTAAATGTTTTAAGTTCATTATATCTTATTCCAGACTAAGAAAGCAATAAGTCACATATTTTAAACTGGTCTTTGACAAAATTTGTCTTTGACAAAAATACTCTCTATGTAATCCAACCCTGCTTTAAAATACATTAAGTTGCTCTCCACCAGTGTCAGTTCCACCATTAAGCTTCTATTACAAACAGTTTTTTCTTCTTTGTCTTTCAAAAGCACAAGTCTCACCTGTTAAGTTGCGAGCCAGTACAGTTAAACTTGGACTCAGTTCTCCAGGCAGATCCTACGCTGTAATTATAACTTATCTACACCCGATAAACAGCCCTCAACTGCTCAGAGATCTGGGGAATATGGCATTTAAATGTTTAATTATTAAAAGGCTTTTAAAAGAGAGACAGGTTGGCTCCTAGCAGCAGCACCCTACTTCCTCGAAAGAAGACAGAACAATGTCCATCTACAATTCGCTTCATCAAATGAGATCGCTAACTACTGGACGAAACTGCCTTTCATCTAAACTGAAGAATCACTGGAATTGACAGCTTCGCTGCTCAGGTCAAGGTAGGCGTGTCTTCTACAGATTTCTTAGCCCACAGCATCTTCTGGAGTCTGGCAGGCCCTGCTTCTAACATCAGAAGGCAAACACAGCCCTGATACCCCTGCCCTCAACAATCATGGAGGACCCTGAGGAGTAGCTCTAGGTAACCAACCAAGTAAGTTCTCTGGCGTTTTTAATCAATAACTCAAGTAAAATTTTATCCTTCTCAAAGAACTCTGATACAATTTGACAGCTGAGAGGTTTTGTCAGTTTAAAAAGAACAAATTTCAGTACAACTTCTTAACATGTTCTTAATAAAAGGTGTTTTAACATATACAAATGCAATTATTAAAGTGTGTATCTGCAAGTTATAAAAGTATGACGACAAATACAAGTTATCAAATTTCTCTCTCACACTGCCTTTCATAGTCTTAAAGATATTTCTCATCATGCAAAAACATCTGTCACAGTCATTCTGACATTCCGCCATCCCAATTCCCTCAACCTGCTATGCCTAACTTCCAGCCTTTTTATTATAAGAAAAAGATGGGACTGTTATAATCTACTGGCCTGGTCTGTCACCTAGGTACCCTGTCCCTTTAAGAGACAAGTCCTGCCCACTCCCAACCCTCCCAACCCCCCCCCCTTCCAGCTGAGGCTAGAGGACCCTCTCTCTCACCCTCTCTCTCTCTCTCTCTCTCTCTCTCTCTCTCTCTGCCCTTTTTCTAGAGAGGCAGCTTCTGCCTCATCCCCTTCTCCCCTTTTTCTTTCCTTCCCCTTCTCCCCTTCCCTTCCCCCTCCATAACCCACTACATAAACTCTATACCCACACTCTCTCTCTGCATGATGTATCTGTCTGTCTCTCACCTGCCGTGGTCTCCCACCCACCAAGGGGACCTACTGAGACCCTGGGTGGCCCGCCACTGCCCCTTGTGGGATGGCTGCCCCTCATGGGACTGGCCTCTGGTCCATCATGTCTTTATAAATGATAACACTGGGTCCAGAGTCCCACTGTTTGTGGGCCACTCTCCCAGGTGACTCACTGCCCTTCTGCGCAGGACAGCTTACTCTTGCCTGGAGACAGCGTAGTAAACAGACCTATCTGTTGCTGGATGACAACTGGGCACAGAACCCAGTAAGGGAAAAGCAGAGGAAGCAGGCACTCCATGTCCGCGGGGAACTTCCTTTGGGCAGAGCTAAGGGCTGGGAGCGACTGTTTCTGCTTTTGCATACCTGCTCACTCACCAATATCAGGCAAAGGGGAGGGTTGGTGAAGCCTAGGAAGATCAAACAAGTAGGACCCCAGTTGGGCAGGGGAGTCCTGAGTAGGGTTGGGGTCCTGAAATGAGGTCGACAAAAATTCCTGTGACTTGGAGTGAACTCTGCCACTACCGAACTGTGTGACCTATGTCTCTAATTTTCCCTGAGCAACCGACCTGCTTGATTCCTGAATTCCCTCTAGATAAGTAGCAATGGTGCCTCGCAGGGCACAGTGCAGGGAAGGCTGGGGTGGCTGTACTGACTGCAGGACCCACTGGTCACCCCCTCAGAAGAGGTTGAGTTCTTCTGATTGGATCTCCCTCCACACCTTTTTTCCTCTAGACGATTTCCATGGCACCATCACCACAGTAACCTCAGGTGTCAGGTATCAGGCCTGCTGCCCATCCTAACGTGGATGGCTGCAGCCAGATGTGTGCCTGTCACTATAGACAGCTAGGGAACAAGGAGGGGCTCCACTGGGAAGCAACGATTATGCTCTGCGCTGCCCTTCTGCTAAGGGAGTAGACCAACCTGCAGAACCCTTCATGGAGCTCTGGCTCAGGACTCCGGAACTGCAACTGCATATAGGAGCTTTCCTGTCCTAGCTGAAGAGTCTCTCCTTGGTGGCCTCATCTCCTCAGGAGCCCGTATTCAAGGGACCTTCCCCAAGCACAAGAGTCTGTCACCGCCCACGGTCCCCAGTCTCGGTTTTGAGAGCCCCTCCTGGGAGAGGCAGGTAAAGGGAGATTCCGGGCGGCCGGCCCCTCCTTCTCCACTAGGGCCCAGGCCACGATGTCCGAGAGGATTAATCATTGATGGACTCAACAGTTTCAGCAGAGTGCAGCAGCGGGCACTCAAGCCCCACCCACCCCACTTTTAGGATTCCCGGGGTCTGATGTGGAGGGGCACCCAGGCAAGCAACCAGCCTGAGCCTGCAGGACACAGTGCCGGTGAAGTATGCCCTGCAACACTCCTATGCCCTTCGCTTGGGCGAGCATGCGATCCCATTTTGGCTAAGGAGGCAGTGCAGGCGGGGTGCTCAGGTAGGAGAATGAGGCAGGATACAGCCAGCCTGAGTACTGGACCTCCCGACATACCTTGGCCCGGTTCTCCTTGGGCTCGGGGTGGCAGGGGTCGCCCCGGCCCGCGCCGCCGCCGCCGCCGGGGCGCTCACTGGGCGGCGGGGCGCACTCGCCGGGGCCCCGTGCTCTGCCAGGCCTGGTCCATGCCCCCGCCCCGCCGCCGCAGCAGCGGCTGCCGCACCCGTTCTCGCCACTCTCGGCCAGGTGAGGCCAGCAGCCTGGCCCGGCCCCTGGCTTCACGGCCAATGGGCGACATGGCCCCTTCCCCCATCCTGTCCCCTGCGCGCCTGCCCGAGAGGCACAGAAGCTGTATTCAACTCCCTGGGGCGCAATATCGCGCCCCCGCCGCCGGCCCAACAAGGCCCATTTGTCTCCCAAGGGCCAAGGAGACCATTGTCCTGCCGCCAGTCCCAGAAGGGAATAGAGGGTGCCTGGGGCTTGGTGGTAGTGTTGGGGAGGGGTGCCTGGGCTCAGGGAAAAGGCGGCAGAACTAGTTTGCCAGCCTTTTATTGAGAGTGCTGGAACTCCTCGGGATCCAGTGGAACATAGGTCTTCCTAGCTCCCCCTGGGGAGGCCAGAAACACATTTTGGTACCCAAGGAAAACAGGTAGAAGAGCCAGGATCCCTGGGCCTACCCAGGGAAGGGGCTTGGCTCCAAAGGCTGTCACTTCAACGGTTCCGGTTCTGCTAACTTCCCTTTTAAGGATGCCCATCCTCAAGAGCGCTGTGCAAATAGGAAGTGGGTGACTGTCTAGGTTCAGGCTGTCCTTCGTCCCAAAGCAGAACCAAGGACGGGAACTAGTCTGGGGTTAGACCCAGTTTGGGCAGTACAAAACCAGCTGACCATCCAGTTGAGCATGGGCCACGTCAGAGCCCCACTGCCCCCGACATTTCTAGGCAACTCTGGAATGGGGAAAATTCCACATCAGCCTGGCTGCCAGGCATTCTTCCATATCTGATGGGCTTTCCTTTGTCCATATGAACCCTAGATACACATATACCCATGCAGGCCTGAGTCATCTCCTGGGCTCCAAAAGTCCCAACCCTTTGGTTCTTGCCTCTCCCAACTGCCACGTCAGAGCTGGCTTCAGACAGAACCCTCTCATCCCACATCTATAGTGAGACCATCAGTTTGGGGGAGGCCTTGAACTGGATTCTCAAGTTCACAAGCCACACTTCTCCTCTCAGATTTCTCCTATATGTTCTCTCTACCTGCCGGCCCCACCTCTCCTTTCTCCTGCCTCAATATTGGACGTTTAAAGCTTTATCAGACCATCAGGTGTTCTAGACAGGTAAAGTATCACAGCTTCACAGAGTTAAATACATGCAACATAAAAGTAACACACCTTAACATAATATTCCCCAACAGGTTACCAGCTGGGATACTAGCACACCTGAATGGAAAGTTGTAGAGGCCCAAAAATGTAACCCTATTTCCATGTTGACCATAGGTCAGAGTGGGGACTTATCTCTAGTTCCTTCAAAGTTATTGTGCTTCTACCTCAAAGGTTCCACCTAGCTGTAGGTCAGAGTTCTGCTCTCTCAAAGTTATTGTCAACAGGTGTGGCTAAAAGCCAGACCTTATACTTCAGGAATAGAGAAGTAGATATGTTTCTACCTGAAACAAAAGTCTAAGGATCCAACTAAGGGTCCAGTTCCTTTATAAAAATAACTTTGGATTCCACTCAGGGAATTTGCCTACAGAATGTTTTGGTCTAGGGTGTGAGCGTGACTTGTTTTGTTCTAGCAACAGAATGTTTAATTATGGATGTAGCCTGCAACCTTCAATTGGTATGTTCGTTTCCTTGTATCATGTTGATGCAGTTTTTTGTCTTACTCTTACCTTTTGGGGTCAGGGGTATTTAAAGCAATTGGAAATTAAACGCGAGTGAATTCCAGTACTCACTGGAACTTCCTCCAGATAACTATCCTATATGTTTCTCTGTTTTATTATTTTCATTAGCATCTTCATATTCTTTACTATATTTCTAAATACCCACGCCTCTACCCTGGCAAGAGGTATTTTGTCGAGGCTGGTCCCCAACAAAGTTAGGCTTTACCTGCCCTTAGGCCTCATTTCTCACCGTTAGCCTTCTGTATTGGTTTTGTGTGTCAACTTGACACAATCTAGAGAAGCCTCAGGTGAGGAAATGCCTTCATGAAATCCAGCTGGAAGGCATTTTCTCATTTAGTGATCAATGGGGAGGGTCCAGCCCATGGTGGGTGCCACCATCCCTAGACACTACCTGGGTGGTCTTGAGTAGTCCGAATTCTACAAGAAAGCAGGCTGAGTAAGCTACGAGGAACAAGCCAGTAAGCAGGACTCCTCCGTGGCTTCTGCATCAGCTCCTGCCTCCAGGATCCTGCCCTGCTTGAGTTCCTGTCCTGACTTCCCTCAGTGATGAATAGCAATATGGAAGCATAAGACAAATCAACTCCTTACTTCCTAACTAGCGTTTTGGTCTGGTGTTTCATCGCAGCAATAGAAACCCTAAGACAAGTTGATACCAGGAGTGGGGTGTTGCTATGAGAGATCCGACCATGTTTTGAGGAGGATTATGGACTTTGGAATTTTGGGCTAGAAAAGCCATTTTGCAATGACAGCTCAGTGGGAAGTTCTTGAGGAGCTTCAAGGAGAAAAATGTTGAGAGCAGTGCAGATGGAGGCTTGCCCTTATGAAGTTTTAGAGGGAAATTTAAAGACTCTGGTGACTTGAAAGAAAATGCCCCTAAAGGGGGCAGCACTATTAGGGGGTATGGCCTTGTTGGAGGAAGTGTATCATTGTGACAGTGTGCTTTGAGGTCTCATATATGCTCAAGTCACGCCCAGTGAGACAGACCACTCTGTTGCCTGCAGGATTCTCCGTTCTCAGTTCCCTCTCCAGCACCATGTTTGCCTCTGCCATGTCCCACCATGATGGTTTAATGGTCTGTCCTGACCCTTTAAGAGACAAGCCACCCATTCCCTCTCCTGTCTGCCTAGGCAAGCTGATCTTCAGCTTCCACCATCCCGAGTCCTTTCCCTTTCTGTCTCTCCCTTTTACCCACTCCTCCCCTTTCCCCGTTTCTCTCTTTTTCTTTCTCTCCTCTTCCCCCTTCCTTCCACTAAATAAATATCCAACTTCACTCTGCATGGTGTGCCTATCCATCTCTCACCTGCTACGCAGCTCCCTGCCTGGGACCCAGCTGCCTTCATGGCCCACCTTGGTCTCAGGACCCACTGCCCGCTGTGTGCCACTGCTCAGCAACCTGTGGTGTGGTCTCACGGCCCGCTGCCCACTGCCACCACTCAGGGACCTGTAGCATTTTACTTAAACCATTACAGTGGTAACAGAATAAACCTCTGAAACTGTAAGCCAGCCCCAACTAAATGTTTTCCTTTACAAAAGTTGCTGTGGTTGTGATATCTCTTAAAGCAATTGAAACACTATGACAAGTTGGTACCAGGGGCTTGGGTATTGTTGCATTAGGCCTTAGTGTGTTTTTGTTTGAAGGAATATGGACCTTGGGACTGTGGTTTAGCAAAGCAGTTGAACACTTTAAGTGTTGCTTAATGGGCCATCCTAGTAGGAGCATGGAAGGCAGTGGTACTGAGTGTGATTTGAACTGTGGATGCCTGGATCAAGAGGTTTCAAGAGGAAAAGAATGTTAATACGTTGCCTAGAGACTGTTCTTGTGACATTTTGATGAAGAGTCTGCCTGAGGCTAAAGTGAAGAGATTTAGATTAATTCCATTGGCAAAGGAAATCTCAAAACCACCAAGCATAGACTGTCATGTGGTGGCTAGTGTTCACATGTCAGGGTGCACCATGTAGTACGGGTCAGTTGAAGAAGGGACTCTAAGATGAAATTTTAAGGCCTACGTGGCAGTAGGAAGGTCCGGCCTCTTCAGATGGACTGAACCCCAAATAGCTATATAAAAGGTGTATTTATTGGAAGTTACACATACCAAGGTCCCCAATATTACCGAAGGAGATCATCACATGTCTTACTGAAGGGGGACATCACACGCCCCAAGACTCTAGTCGTTCATTATGTATCATTTGCTATATACAATAATACAAGAACCTCAGGTGTGCCTGAGGCATCTTGTGACCAAAGTCGTGGGATGGTTGCAAAACCCCTTCAGCAAAATAATCACTGCTTCCTCAAGGATTCAAGGTCAAAGTACTTCTAGAAAACAGTTGTTCATATCTGCCCCACACAGTGATTCTGCTAAATTCCTACAACATTCATGCTTATAAAGATTTATAATGAAAAGGAACTGAGCAAGAAAAAATACAAAATGTACTGATTGAGGAGAAAAGGGGCACCAGGAAGTGGAACAGAGCTAAATTCTGTGTTCAAGGAAATAAACAGATCTTATAAGAAAAGAATGAAGGGAATGGTGATGTTAGGGGAAGATTCCACCCAGCTAAGTTTCCAATTTGCGAAAAGGAATTTATTAAAAAACAAAAAAACCTGAAGCAGGGCGTGGTGGTAGATAGCTTTAATCCCAGCACTCAGAAGGGAGAGGCTGGCTGATCTCTGAGATTGAGGCCAGCCTGGTTATAGATCCAGTTTCAGGACAGCCAAGCTTTGGCAGTGGAGGAAACTACCAAAGACAGAAAGCTGGTGAAAATGTAATTGAATGAGGGGACCATGTTCCAAGCCCACTAAGCAGCAGAATTTGGTAACTTCAGTCACTTGGTTCTGCAGTTAAGGATAGAAGAAAGGTGTAGTGGCATTCCAAATGTATTTTAATAAATAAAGACTGCCTGAAGATCTGAGAGTAAAACAGGCCCATTAGTCAGCCTTACAGCCAGATTATGGTGACACACACCTTCAATCCCAGTGGTGCATGCCTTTAATCCCAACCCTAGAGAGGAATATAAAACAGGGTCATACAGTCTCCTTCTGAGACTCTGGGAGGCAGGATCACCATTTCAGACTGAGGTCCAGGTAAGGAGCCAGTGACTGGCTGTTTTGCTTTTCAGATCTTCAGGTTTAATCCCAATCTGACCCTGAGTTTTTAATTGTGCTTCAGAAAGGGGCTATGGAATTTGCATCAGAGACTAAGGAAAGCCGCTGAGGCCAAGTATGTGTCGGGGTGTCCCTGAATCAAAATGAAGAGAGACCATGACCACAGCAGAGAGGTCATTCATTGCATGAAGACATTGTGTGAAACTGTGAAGTCTAGATTACCTTAGAGACCCCAAGATTTTGGAGTTATCAGAGCTGTGGGATACATGCCGAGGAGAGCTGCTAACAGGGAGTGGAACCAGCCCAAGAGAGAAGTGTGTTGCAGTTAACAAAGCTGAAAGGAGTTGGAGATTTGAAGAACATTTTGACATCAGACATGCAAAATGCATGCAGAGTTTGGAGTTTGTCCAGCTTGTTTTCGGTCTTTTGTCCAGTATTTCCTTACTATGCTCCTTCCTCATGTTTTGGAATGGTAATGTCTATCCCGTGCCATTATATGTTGGATGTATGTGATCTGCTTTTTGACTTTTGACTTTACAAGGGATTACAGTTAAGAGACTGCATGAATCTCAGAAGACTTTAGACTTTTAAATAATAAAAACTTATACAAAACTATGGGGACTTTTTAAGTTGGACTGAATGCATTTTAGGGGCCAGGAAGTGGAATCTGACAGTTTGAAAAAAGAATGCTGGTTAGCTGGAACTAAGGAATTAGCAGTGATTAAGAGACCAAAGTCAGGTGGTTGTGGCGCACGCCTTTAATTCCAGCATTTAGGAGGCAGAGACAGGTAAATCTCTGAGTTTCAGGGCAGCCAGGGCTAGAGAAACCCTATCTTGAAAACACACACATATACAGAGAGAGACCAGCATCTCTCATGAAAGCTTCTCAAAGTGTTTCCTGATGGCACAGAGAAGCTGTTTCAGGGGTGCCCATGTTGGCAGCTGGACTTGAAGGCATGAGGGTCATGGAAAGCAGCTGAAGTTTGGCAATGTGAGAGGCCACTGGTGAAGGTGAGGTCTCACTAGTAATTGAAGGCCCAGGCTAAAGGGGTCATGCAAAGAAGTTGAATTTTGGCACCGTGAAGACAGCCTATGCGAGGCTATTGGTGAGAGATGCCAGTAGCAAGGGGAAAACCGCCAGCAGCAGCTAGAGCCCAGAAGACAAACCGTGCTACAGAGGATGGAGCTGAGAAGACTCCAGTCCTCTGGATGAGTCCAAAAGATCAGATCATGAGCAGATCCCAGACATTGGGCGGTTGAAGTTTGGATTTGCTTTGAATTAATTGTGTTTTTTTTTCTCTCTTGAAGAAAGTACTTTACTGGAACCCACCCACAGTTGAGAGACTTTTAAAAGAGAGGCTATTTTTTTTTTAAAGGGACTGAAATTTTAAGGTATTTGAATTTGTAAAGACTGGGAAATTTAAAGTTATTTATGTTTTTAATGTGAGATAAAGTGGGTTGGGCAAGTCATGGGAAGGCAGTAGGCAGCACCCTCCATGGCCTCTGCATCAGCTCCTGCCTCCAGGATCCTTCCTGTTTTGAGTTCCTGTCCTGACTTCAGTAATGAACAGGAATATGGAAGTATATGTCAAATAAACCCTTTCCTCCTCAACTTGCTTTTGATCATGTTTTATCACAGCAATAGAATCCCTAAGACACCTTTCACCTTCTGATGAGCTCCAGCAGATGTTTATAGACCATGACTAGACGAGTGAACCCTCAGCACACTGCTTGTGGGAAGGTTTCAGAACATTAGCTGAAACAGGAATCAGGCCAGTGCGATTATGAAACCCGAACGCAGAGTCTGTGTCCCTCCTCGGATCCCTGGACCCAGAGTTCTGAGTGTGCTTGGACCCATCTGGGTCTGTCCAGGTGACTCCTTTCTAACCCAGGGAGGCTTCTGAACACAGAATCTAACTGGCTGCAAAAGTTCAGCCATTTAATAACAAGAGCTCCCCAGTCTTATTCCACAACAGCACCCTGAGAATTATGGGCACAGCTGTGTAGGAGGCTGTGGAAACCCAAACACAATGAGGATATCAGTCAGACTCCTGGAGGAAGAACTGGGCTTTGTCCAGACACCGGCACGAACTTCATGGAGGCTAGGACTGGCCACACACGACCAGAGTATGAGGGTGCTGGGCTGGTGCTCAGGTGCGTGTGCATCCCACTAGCTGCTGCCATGTCCAGCTCCCAGTGACGATGTCCAGCTCCCAGGGAGGAACGGCTGGAGCTCACACAGGCCTTGTCCTCTTGGCCTTTTTCTCAGACCTCACAGCGTCATCATGGGCTTTCCTTTTCTCCGCCAGCTTGTTGGCCTGTGAGAAGGAGAACTCAGGATAGGATAAAGAGCAAGCGGAGAGGGATGGATCTCTTCTCTTATGGGGGTTTCCCTTAGCAGAGTTTCTAGAAAAGCTAACAAGCAAATAACCAGAGACCCCGACTTGTACCTCGGGGTGAAAGAACAGAAGCCCTACCATTGCCATATAGCACACTTTACAGCCCACAAATCTCCGGCTTGGAGATTCTAGATCGACTCTTGCACTAGCTCTGAGGGAAAGACGAATACCACTCAAACCTTTATTGAAAGCTAGCAGAGGGGGCACAAGGAGGAGACTCTTTCCAGGACCACAGGCGATGCTCCTAAGAACCATTCAGAGGGGGGCAGGGTCTGCTCTCTATTTCCTGAGCAAGACTATCAGCAGGGAACAGGTCACACTGTACAATGGCATGGAAAGACCTGATAAACTACTGTGATTTCTGTGTGTGTGTTTTAAGACAGGGTTTCTCTGTGAAACACTCCTAGCTGTCCTGGAACTCACAGAGACCCACCTACCTCTGCCTCCCAAGTGTTGGGATTAAAGGTGTGCACCACCATCACCTGGCTATGCTGTTATTTAAGATGAACCTGGTGCCCCCCCCACCCCCACACCCTAAGGCAAGGCTGCCTGCCACTCTGGAGGCCTCAGTACACAATTGCTTTGTTTTCTTCTCCTGCCCCCCTCAACTCTGTGATCAAAGCAAGTGCTCAAGCACCAAATAAACCCCCAGCTAACACACACTGAACACGCGAGCTTAAGAAAGACTTCCTGAGTCTGTTGGGTTAGGCCCACCCTCAGGACAGCTCTGGGTTAGCATGGGAATTAGCTATGCTGCTTAGTGGTGGGGACTCTCTAAGAAGAGTGAGGCCTTGGCTTCTATTCCCAGCTGTGTAAAACCAAACCAAACACAGAAAACTCCAAAGAAAACAGGCCTTGGCCAAATGGACCAGGTTAGCTCAACCGTGCAGATGTGCGGAGGCCTCGTCAGAGAGCAGAAACCTACCTCTCGGATTTTGCGCCGCTTGCCAAACATGATCTTTTGGTAGAGGTACTTCTCCCGCTTTTTCATCATCATGATGGCCAGGCGCTTGGCCTCACTTTCCTCCTCCTGGGCCAGTCGCTGCTTGTCTTCCAGTTTCACGGTGCCGGCCACCACCTGGGGCTTCTGGGGAAACAATGCAGCTGCATGAGCACTTGGCCTTGTGGGTAACTGGCTGCTTCCCAGGCAGAGCTTTGTCCAATGCTTCCCTACCTTCCCTTCCAGACGCTGCTGCTCCAAGGCTGACAGGTGCGCCTCCTCCTCCTTCTCTGAATCAGCTTCCACATCTTCCTCCTCATTTTCCCCTGCATCACCATCACCTTCATTGTCATCATCTTCATCGTCCTCATCCTCATCCTCCTCTTCCTCTTTCAAGTCTCCTACAGACAGTAACTTCTGCATTCCAAGGCAGCTCAAGGATGCTCCCCCAATGGCCCCCAACAGCTTTCACAGCCCCAGCTGAGCGGCCTTCAAATAAAAACACCCTTGCTACCCGTGCAAACACTGACAACACTGGTTCATTCTGCTCAGCTACTCCAAATATCAATAGCAGACTAACATTTCAAATGCTTGAAAGGCTGAGGGCTTTCTGTTCCCGCTGTCCTTTTCTCTGAAGCCTGCCAACTCTGTAGCCAAGGGAAATGGCCAGCTTGGGCACAGGAGCCAGGGCCACCAGAGGAGCCTGTCCATACTGCTACCCATCCTTGCCCAGCTCACCTGGGTCCTCTCCCCGCTGCAGAGCCAGCAGCTTCAGCTTCTCAGGGGGAATGTAATCTCCTTCCTTCTCAGATACGAAGGGTGAAAGGTGTGGTGGCAGCTGCACCCCAGGGAAGTACTCTGCCACAGGGAGGAGGAGCCGGGCATTCACACAGTCAAACACCCACTGGGGCTGTATGTAGTACCTGATGGAGAGTAGCCAGCAAAGTCAGGTCACAAGGGAACAACCAGAGGTACCACTGCATCACCAGGGCCAAGGAACCCCCACCCCCAGAGGGCATTTGAGGGCTTTGAGAGTCTACCTGCCAATGACGGGGGTTTGCTGCCCAGGCCGATCAACAATCTGGTGGGTGATGCAGGAGTCTGTGATGTCATAGGTGGCTCCAATGCACAAAGACTTGTCCCAGGATACATCCCCACCAAAACTCCTACAGGTACGCAGAAAACCTGTAAGCCTTTTAGGAATGAGCTGCCTGCCCTGGAAGCATCCCTGAACCTACTAGCCACAAACCCACCCTTCCATGAAGTGCCTTACCCACCCCAGAGCCTCCTATCTGGGATGACATCTACAGTCCTGGTCCAGAAAGAACTCAGCTAGTGACAGAACAGCTCTCCCCTTAGCAGAGTGCTCTGGAGGTGTCTGCCTGTAGGCTTTGCATACACTGCTTTGTGAGGAGTGGAGACACCCTCACGTTACCAATACACCAATAGGCTAGGATGGAGACCGGACTACTGTACAGTCACAACTATGGGCTAGTTAAAGGCCTCCCCACCTGATGATGAAGGCCAATGCTTCACGGGGCACCTCTCGGTTCAGGAAGAACTTTAGGCCTTCAAAGAGTTTCTTGTGCTTTTCCTGTGCCTCCAGCTCTTTCTTGCGACCTTCCTCCTGGGCTGTTATCTCCTTCAGGGAAGGGGCCAAGTGTCACACCACCAGGCCATCCAGCTCTACCAGAAGGGACTGGCAGATCCCAGATTCTAGGTGATGCCCCTGCCCAGTCTCATCCCATGTATTCCTGGAAGGCAGCCCCGTGCTTACTCACCCCATCAATAGGAAACTCATCGGCCTCAGCCTCCTCTGTAGTAGGCACCACCACTCGGGCCAGGCTGGCACTGAGGGCTGCTAGTTTCTGTAGGTGGGAAGCAGAGCTACAAGGTGGCCTGCTTGCAGGTGGGGAACTTCATCTGGGCATGGGATAGGCTGGAGAGCAAAAACAGCTCCAGGCCAAATCTGGGTCAGTCATAAAAGTAAATCCTAGAACCACCTACCTAGCCAAATCACTCACTATTCACGGGATAGAATGGCGGCATAGGGCCAGTGCTCCTGAAGCCCATCTTACCTCCATAGAGCTCTCGGAGTCCAGAGCATATGTGTCCTCGCTGACCTTTGTCTCTGCCTGGGTCTGACCTTCAAGCTGGGAAGAGGGAAGAGTACACCTACAGCCCAGCCCCTTGCCTCAGTGTAGGATAGGAGGGCTAGGTGAGAAGGTGTTAGGCTCTACCTTGGGTGGGTAGTGAAGGTTGAGTGACTGGTAGAGGCGGAAGTTGACAAAGCCCAGGAGAGTGGTGTAGAACTCAGTGAAGGTGGCCATGACCCTGTAGTCCACGTCCGTAGGATGCTGGGGGAATAAGGAGACACATCCGCAGTGTTAGCACAGGGGTGGAGGTAGGTATTATGCCCACAAACCCACGGGCATCTGAAGCACAAGGGAGGCTCTGGACAGAGGCCCCAAAGGCTATGGGTCCATGGAGACCAGTGCCAGGTTCCCCTGTGGTAAAGGGGAGCCAGGACAGAGACAGGAACTGGTCCGCAGTGCTCCACCGCACTTGGCCCTGCCTCTTTCTGGCCCCGGCTCTCCCACTCCTCCTTCAATTATCAGTGGGACCTAGACAGAGCACACACCTTGTCCATCACCCATCCCAGCATGAGCCTAAGATCTGCTTCAGGGCAACTGGGAGCACTGAGGCAGCCTTCCCAGAGCCCAGCAAGGCCTATGTGTGCAGCTCATGGTCCACAGCCCAGAAGAGGTGATGACTTCTACTGGCCGAGGTGCCTTGGAAAGGACGTAGTCCACCCACACCCTGCAGAGTGTGTGATGAAGCTCAGAGTTTAGCATTTCTGTCTCAGACCCAGCCTAGGCCTAACACTATGTTGAAGCAGAGGTAGACCACCTTTCCCAGCTGCCACCCGGCAGGCAGAAGTGAATGGCTTCCCTCTGCCATTACCACAAGGAGCTGATCTACAGACTGGATCAAGTGTCTCAACTCTGGAATGGTCCCATCCGCTAAAGTCAGAAAGGCCTACCCAAGAGCCCACCAAGCCCTGCTAACCACCACAAAACACTTCTAAGACATGTCAAAATTGATAATAATCACAACATCCCCTCAGCTCGGGGCACCCACAACTCTGAGCTAGCTTTCCATCTTGCTACCAGGCAGCAGTCTATGCCACCAGGCTTTTCCTGATAGGCACAAACTTCATTTTCCATAGTACTGAGCAGGGTAGGTACATTCTGCCCTCACCACCGCCATTACCCCAAGACCCACTGCTGTATGCTCAGCATCGGCTGCCCAGGGGAGGGGCACATGAGGGTCTTTGCTACAACTACCCTCTGCTGAGAGGAAGCAGCTGGCTACAAACTGGGAGGAAGGAGGCATGGGCAGACCATGCCCTTCCCCCAGGGCCAGCTGTGTGGAGGATGGCCCTCACAGGGCCCTATTCACCACCCCAAGAACACACAAAGAGCAGTCTGAGAAGCATGGGGGTTCGACATCAGAAGGAAGGAAAGACAGAAAGGGCCAAAGAAGTTAGGCAGGAAGGAGGAGGAGCAGGGAAGGAAGGGCCATGTACACTGGCTCCCCAAGCCTGCCTCAAGGAACTGGAAAAGGGACGGATGAACTCCAAGGCCACCTCTTGTTCACAGACAGAAGCCCCACTACCAGTTCACCCAGACACGGCAGGTTCCAGTCTCAGGCACCCCTGCAGCCCACTGAGCACAGAGCCTCAGCTCTCTCTGACAGTTGTTCTCTATGCAAGGTACCAATCCCTGCTTAGTGAACAGGAGGGAATGAGGGAAAGGAGATCAAGTACAGCCCAAAGACCGACAATTCAGGGGGCAAGCCCAGCTAGGACTGACCTTCGGGGGGATTGGGAGCTAGCAAGGCTTCCATGGAAAGCAAAACCAGACTCCTCTTAGCAGAGGCCTAGGAACAATCCTAAGCACTTACAGATAAGCCAGTAAAAGTCAGTGCCATGTGCTAAGTGCCTCTCTTGTGCTCCCTTCCCTGGAGTCAGCAGGGCTCCAGGCTGTGGGGGGATGGGCAGAGGACACAGGAGCGAAGCATTTTTGTTGTGGTGTGTCAAAGGCCAAGTGGGAACAAAGACCCCAGTGGGTCTGAGAGGGGGGCTGGGCTCTGTCACCTGACTCAGGTGGCAACTGTACAAAACACTGAGTATACACAGCCCCCGGAGCTATCCTCACTGCCTATTCAATCACAAAGACAGCTACCCATTCAGTGCCAGGTCCTTTCAAGACTTCTTTCCCCTGAGAAGACGAGAACGCTATTAATTGAAGCAGAAGGGTGAAGGACCATGCTCAAGATCACCTAGCACAGTGGTTCTCAATCTGACTCGCCTAAGGCCATCTGCACATCAGATACTTACATGAGGAACTGGATTAAGAGGCTGCAGCATTAGGAAGGCTGAGAACCACACTCTAGCAGAAGTGCTGGAGTGAGGTAAGCCTATTTAGGATTAGCCTGTGGGTCGGAGTGTACATCTGACACTGAGAATCCTATGACTGATCCAGCACTACTGACTGACTGGGCTGTAAAGCACATATCCTACCCTGCCCCCCCCCCAACTCCCCTACCCCTACACAGCAGTCAACAACCAAGAACCCAGCAAGGGCTGGACTCCAAAGACAGCACCCACCCACATCTTTTAGGAACAAGCACAAGGCACCCCCCCCACCCAAGGCACACTTACATCATGGGAGAAAGCATAGGGTGCAATCCATACGATGGGTTGGCCCAGCACCTCAGCCTGATAGTAAATGCCTTTGATGGACAGGAAGACCTGGGGGGTGGGGGGAGACAGTATGAAAACCAAGGGCTAATGGGAGGACCAGGGATCCCAGGAGAACCTTAGCTCACCTTGCGCAGGGCTCGGGCAGCAATGACATAGTGCAGGAACTCCACAGTGAGTCGGCGACACAGTTGAATGGTCTGCACATGGCACTTCCCTGTCCGTGGGAAGGTGGAGAAGAGGAAGCACATTGACAGGGCATCATCAAGGTCCCTCAGAGCATCGATAAAAGTGGGGTACCTGTAAGGTGGTGAGAGCAGTGCGTATGAGCCCATTCTGTTGGGCTCCAAGGGTCTCTACCCACTCTGCCTCACCCCAGCAGCTACCCCAGAGGCCCTGACACAAGCCAGGCACTGCCACAGCTCTTCCCTGACCCAGTCGTAGCAACAACTTCCCCAAGTTGACCAGGCACCTGGAAACAGCTCTATAGTGACTGAAGAACTAGGGTATTCCCAGGGAACTCTGATCACCTCAGGACATAGCACAGAACCCTTGACCACTTGTTATCTTTTTGTGAACGAGGGGACACCAAACTGTGGTTCTCTGACTCTCTTTGAAAGTGCAATCTTCAAAGACCCACGAGAAAAAGGGAAAAATGGGAAGCTGGACTAGTGGGCCAGGAAGAGTAGGGCTGCTTTCCCAGCAGCACCTGCACCAGGGCAAGGCTACAGGTCACCTGAGTGGGCCTTGTCTTCCTATTCCTCAGCACCCAGATCCGTGTAAATGACAGAACCAATGTAAAATGCTGGCACAGGAACTATGTCCAGTTAGAATAATTTCCAGGAACCCCATGGTAAATGAGGAAGCGGTCAAAGTGTCACTTGGGTAAGAGTCACCACTGCCTTTGACAGTTTCCAAAAAGAGGGACAGAAGCGTAGTACAAAGTGAAGACACTGAGCCACAAGTCTTGATACGTGGACTCTAGTCCCATTCTGAGCTGCGACCCTAACTGGGTCACTAGGCCTCTTCTAGCTCCAACTTTATCTAGAAAATGACACTGCTGGACAAAATGCTAACTTAAAATAGTGTATCTTTAGCCGGGCAGTGGTGGCGTATGCCTTTAATCCCAGCACTTGGGAGGCAGACGCAGGTAGATGTCTTGAGTTCCAGGCCAGCCTGGTCTAAAAAGTGAGTTCTAGGACAGGCTCCAACGCTACACAGAGAAACACTGTCTCGAGGTTTATTTAAAAAAAAAAAAAAAAAGTTATCTTTAACCAGATCTAGTGGTGCCTGGTACGTACCTGTAATCCTAGCCAGCACTTGGGAGGCTGACCTTATCTCCAAAAAATCAAACTAAAATCAACCAAACCAAGCCACCTATCCATCTACTTCTTGTGGCTCTAAACACACCCTGAGTATGGCTGCATCTGCAGGGGTTTCAGCTCCCCTCCTGCAGCCAGGCTGCCCTAGAGCTGCAGGACATCTGAACCACATTCCAGGAAGCTTCATTTGAAGAAAAGGGTCTGCCAGGAGTGGTGGTGCACACCTTTAATCCCAGCATTTGGGAGACAGAAGGAGGATCTCTGCGAGTCTGAGGCTAGCCTGGTCTACATAGTGAATTCCAGGACACCCAGAACTATGGTGAGAGCTTGTCTCCAAAAACTATTAAAAAAAAAAAAGCTGAGCAGTGGTGGCACACACCTTTAATCCCAACACTCAGGAAGCAGAGGCAGGTCAGTGACTTTGAGGCCAGCATGGTCTACAGAGCGAGTTCCGGAACAGCCAGGGCTACAGAGAAAACCTGTCCCACACAAACACAAAACAAAAAGGATGACAATGATGATGATCCGCCTTATCATAAAGAGCTCTGAAGGGCACACGACCACAAATGGTTGAGGTCCCACGCCCCAGACAGAACTGTTTACTGCAGCTGAGTTGAGAGGTCTCAGGTCAGCAAAAACAGGCTAAGATGAAGGGAAGCCTAGCATGAACTTAGCAAGTGATGGGACAGCTGTCTAGGTTCCTGAGACAGAAGTCAGCAACCTCCCCCAGTCTCCTTGGTGCCTCAGTTTCCTAACTTTCTAATCTGGAGGACAAGCACACACCCTTTCTAGACTATTAGATTTTCCATTCGCTTTGGTTCTGGCTGAGGAGACTAGATGTTATTTCTTTTACGAATGAAACCAAGGTCAAGGCTCTTCCACATCCGAGGAAGTTATGACCCATCACCATTTTGGAACTGAGCATGCGTAGGCCTTCATTCTGTAAAACGGACACTAGCATAGGGTTCTACACCTGATCAATTCCAGGCAAAAGTGTCCTGTGATGCAGTAACTATTATGAACACTGAAGACTACTCAGCAGCAATGCTGGCTTCTAGTCATTAGATACCAAACACAGTCCATCCAAACTGTAGAAGCTACAAGGGTCTTCAGGCATTTTCCAATTCTCCTGAAGAGGAAAGATTCACTGATTAGCCAGTGAAGGGGAGGGGCTTTTTGAGAAGGTTGAGTGAGGAACCAGAAGTATGTTACCATGCCTTCTAAGTCTGTAGTATGGGAACTCATGGCTGAACTTGCTGCTGTCTCTGCTCGTAATGTGCTCTCCTGGCTGGCTCAAACAGGTCCTTTTCCAGAGGTCTCTCTGGGCATGTAATCAATGTACCCAGTTCTCTGCACACTGCCATACAGCCTTCACTGTACCCAGTGCAACTTATAATCACGACACTCATGTGCCAGCTTGGTTTTCAGTCTAGCGCCTCTGAAAGGACACACACTCTGCCAGTCAAGTCTTAAGTCTTTCCTTGCCCCACTGCATCCCCAGCACTAGGACAGCACTCAGCAGCAACCGCAGCACGCTGAGGAGCACGGACTCACCGCTCCTTGACGATGTGGTCAAGTTTGTAGTTGGGTTTGTTGTCCTTCAGGCGCTCCACAGCATTCCACTCACTCTTTCCATAGGCTTTGCGCAGCTTCCGAACAAACACCTGGAAGGGGAGCAGGAGCCATGATGCTGTGGCATGGGCTTCTCCTGAGCAGCTCCTCCGTGGAGAGTGAATACACCAGACAGGCTGTCTCAGTGTTTCTGAAACCAGCCACAGCTACTGCCCATGCCATCAGGCCCCTAAGGCCAAGCTCTGCCAAATAGCCAATCCATGGAGCTCCAGATCCATGATAATGACCAGAGGCAGCCCAGGCCCCTCTGATGATGCACAGGTATGCTGATACCACATGCCCACCTAGGAAGAGCCCTGTTTTGCACGGAGGTAGATCATGGCTGGAAGGGCTTGCTTTTAGACAGCACACAAAGCTAGTTGCTGACCTCTATGAAAACAAGCTACCCAGAATAAAACCAACTGAGATAAACTTTAAGGCCACATCTTCCAAACCAACAGATGCTCAAAACCAGCCCCAGGGCTCCTGAGAAGCCCAAACAGTATGTGGGATTATAAACAGCAGGTCTTGGACACACTTCCCACCACCTGCCCCACTTCCAGCATTGTTTGATGTAGCTGCTGCCCAGTCTCCTGCTGGCCACTAGGTGGCGCCCACTCCTCAAAAAACCCTGTTTCCAGCCAGAGGCAGCAGTTTAACTTCAATTAGTCTTTCCACCCTCTGCACATGATGGAAATAGGTTTCTGCTGTCCCTGTCCTGTGGCATTTAGCATTAATGTTTCTCTATGTATGGAACTGAAGCCCAGGTGCCCTGGGAGCAACCCCACAAAGAATAGGAGGGCTTGGGAGCAGAGAAGGCACCAAAAGCCCCTGACATGGTACCATTTCTGCCTTGAGGGCAAATAGTCATAGTCTTGTGGGGGAGCAGAATTGGTTAACAATTATGTGCAGGTCCGGTGCAAATGATTTTTAGGCAGGCCATCTGAGACATCCTTTTGAGGTAGAAAGACCTCCCCTTCTCTACAGGACTGGCCCTGAATGCATCAGCAACCTGTCCAAGTTCAGTGAGTTACAAAGCTGCAAACACAAGAAAGAACCAAGGCCTTACCTTGTACTCTCGGAACTTGTTGACAATGGGCTCATGGAGGAGGAATTTAATATCTTTGATGAGGTAAAATGTTCGGGCTGCTGTGGAGCCCTTGTTTACTTTCTTCTTATGCTTGGGCTCATGGGGATAAATGCCTTTCAGGATGCACAGCCGCCTGGAAGACAAGCCACCGTTAAACCAGCAAAGGCACAACACTGGCCACAGCGCGCTAGAAAGCCAGCGTGACCAGGAAGCAAAGGAGTTGGTGCTTCACCTCTCAAGTGAGTGCAAGCAGACTGTGAGAGGCGTGCCAGTGGGAGCAGACAGAACAGCCACAAAGGCTGGCAGGCACCTAAACCAGGACACCACACTGAGAAATCAACATTTCAAACACATAGAAGGCTGCGCACTCTGAGACAGCCAAGTAAGAACACTTGTTCTCCTGGCACCCAGGAGACTGAGGCAGGAGGAGCATATGTTTGAGGCTAGTCCGGACTATGGGCGTTTGTCTCAAACAAGAAGAAAAAACTGGCTTGGGGATATAGCTCAGTGGCAGGGTGCGTGAGTAGCATGTGTGAGGCATGTTCAGTGACCAGTCCTGCAGAAAACAAACAAAACCAAAGCAAAAACAATAAAACTCTTCAAATTAGTAACAAAAGCCTGTAACCATCACATCCCTCCCCACAACAGAACGCACACAGAGTGGAGGGTGCAGTGGTCAAGATTAGCCTGATGGGAGGACCCACAGACTGCAGAGACATCTGGACTTGATTCTACAAGGAGAGTCCCCAGTTGTAGGACTCAGGAAGCCTTCTGTCAGAAGGGAAACGGTAAAGGGCAATGACCAGGCAGCTGGATCTGAAGAGCCAGTTCTCAGACCGCAGCTGACAAAGCGAGGTGAGGAAAAGGAGAAACATCACAGGATGGTGGGATGGCTCAAGCAAGGCCAGGAGTTTTCCCTGCGCATTTATGCCACTACCCAGGCTTCCAGACCCTAGTTTGCTCCCCTCCAACCTCACCTGAAATCAGGCAGGCTCAGCTGCAGCTTCTTCCGGGCTTTATTTCGGGTGATATAGTTGGTGGCAGAGCCTCGTTCATACTTAGGGAGGAAAAAAAAATTCTGTTAGAACTACAGCAGTGAGTGGCACTCAACTCTGGGAAAAGGGAATTCTAGAGACAGCTAAGTGGGTAGGTGACAGAGACAGATTTCCAGGATGAGGACTGCTGTAGGGAGTGAAATGGCCTGCCCAAAGGAGCTCTATGCTGTCCCTGGATACCGCATCCACGCGATGCTGGGGTCTTGACCTACCCAGCACAGCTCTATATCCTGTCTAACATGCAGTGATTTCACAGTTTATATCACTCAGTCTCCACAAGCCTGTGGGGTAAGGGCCATCAGAATGTCCATTTCCAGCTTGCCCATTCAAGCCACACAGCTTACAAGCTTGGGTTAGGTCTCCAAACCTAGGTCTGAGTCCAGAGCCTGCATGCCTAACTAATCCTCTGTTCATAATCTTATTTGTCCCTTTTTAATCACCAGCCTTTTCATACGGACCACAGGCAACCATTCATACCCTCACAAGCGCATAAAATGCTACTACTATAGACTAACAGAGTATGCTCCTCGGGAGGGAGACGAAAACCACTGTAACATCTAAGATATCCCCTAGCCATTTCTCCCTCCCTCAGGGGTGACACTACTCTAACTGGAAATGCTTGTCTTAAGCCACACACCACTGCCCAGCACCCTCACCCCCTTCATTCACCAGAAAGCAACCAAGTTGAAAGCATTAAGCTAGATGCTATGAGGGTAAGGAAGACAACAGGCCTGGCTTCTACTTGCCTCCAAGCAGCAGGTGGTTTTGTCAAATCAAATCATCTGGATTATCTCATACACATCAGTGCTAAAGAGAAGCAGCATCCTATTCCAAACAGCCTGAAGCACTAACCACCTATGTCCACTCAAAAAAAAAAAAAAAACCTTCCTCTGCAGGGAGACAGCAGGAACTTCTGAACCTAGGTCTGGATCTAAGGAGTCAGTGTCCCCTGAACTACCTATGTTATACACAACCCCACAGACATGAAACACACCATTCATTCTTTCCTGCAGACACTGACTATTGGGAGGAGCCAAAGATAAGGTCCACAGTGTTCATCCAATGTTTTCCACAGAGGCCGGTGAGATGGCTCAGAGGGACAAGCACTTCCACCAATCCCGATGAGCACACACAGTGGAAGAAGAGAACGGTCTCCTACATGTTGTTCTCTGACTTCCATTATGTGCACCGTGTTTCTTGGGGGCACACACATACATACACACAGAGTAAGTATATGTAAAAAGGAAAAGTATTTCCACTGAGCCAGCCATGGTGGTGAACACCTAAATTCCAGTACTCAGAAAGAAGAAACAGGACAAAAATGAGTTTCAGGCCAGCCTGTGTGAGAGCCTGTCTCACTACTAACTCCAGTGCTAGAAAACAAAATGTTTCCCATTTTCCCGTGCCACAGGGATCTCTTGCCACTGTGCACTGCCATTGTAAACATTAAACCTGGTTCACATGGTGAGTTAACTTTTTGGATTAGGGTGTGTGTGTTGGACAGTACAACATTTTTCTAAACACCTTACAATGAGTAAGACAAACCATTCCCACAACAGATACTTTGGCCTCAAGAGTCAAAACTGTTCTGGAACCCAGTGTCGGATGTTACAGCTCGCTGAGACATCTCTACTTGCATCTGAAGTACAGGTTTCCCTTTTTATTTTGGGACAAGGTCTCACTATGTAGGCCTGGCTGGCCTAGAATTTGCATGTAGACCAGGCTAGCCTCCAACTCATGGAGATTTGTCTGCCTCTGCCTCCAGATCAAGTTTTCCTTCTTATAGTGTTAGGTTAAAACAAATTTGGATCTTTCTTCAGGGTCTAGCCTGGGAAATGGATGAAACTTAAAAAACAAAAACAAAAAACCCAAACATACTTAAGGGAGGTAAACCAGACCCAGAAAGACAAACATCACATGTTCTCTCTCATTGGAGGCTGCTGGCCCTACACCTTCAGATGTGAGTACATATCCTGGAGTAACTGCGGAAACCAGGAAAGTAAAAAGGGGCCAGTGGGGTGGGGGGTTGGGGGTGCACAACAGAGAAGGGACTATCAGGGAACAAGTGATCAGATAAAGGTAAATGGGACAAATGGGGAGGGGGTTCTAAATTAGGGAGTCGGGAGATAGACGCAGGAGAGGAGGGTAAAATAACAGTAAGGATGTCTGATAAACTCCTGAGGGACTCTTTACAAACAGCACAAAGCAATAATACAGATTAAGCCTGTGCATAAATATACATATAGCATTTAAATGAAATTCTCTCATCTGGGCTGACAATTCTCCCTCCAAGAGTCAAAGACCCCCCCTCCCCCAAAAAAAACCCCAACCCCAGGCATGAGAGGCCTTTCTGGGAGTTGTTGGTCACATTGTTCAAGTGACTTCCAAAACATGACAGGCTTTTGCTGTTGCCCTTGGTTACATACATGAGATGCAAATAAGTCCCCACTGCTGAAAATACCGCCCACTTGAGATGCAGGGAATCAGACATCACTCAGCTGAAACTGACCTGACCCTCTTACTCCCCGAGTACCAGGAGCCATGCAAGCTTTTACAGGAGGGAAGCAACCAGCAGTCCTACCCAGTTGTGCTATCTAGGAACCACAACAGCAATCAGCATGGCATGACAACCTGAAGGGTGCAGTGATATGAACACCACAGCGTAATCAACTGTTTTCTAACTGGACCTCAGACCCTCTAACACAGGGAAATCCTGCCCGGTACTGGAAACCTCGCCAGCTACTTGGAGCTAGTAAAGCCACCTATCCTGAAGGGTAACCTACAACTGCAATACTAAAGTTGATTTCCTAAACCAGCATAATCCCTAACTACAACCACAAAACAACTCCCACACCTAAGGCTCAGGGATCATTGCGGAAGAAGGGATGGAAAAATTCTAAGAGCTAGAGGATCAGTGCATTTGTTGAGCCTGTGCCTCCTAGGAATGTCAGAAGCTATACCCATAAGCCTCACCAACATGCCAAATGAGCAGAACACAGACAGCAGACTTGCCAATGTGGATAGAAGACAGCCCAAGAGACCTCAGCCCTACACAAAGAACTGCAGGCAACCAAGGAATGCTGAGTGGGAAGAACACACCAGTTAGCTACCAACACCAAATGGTCAGCCCTGACAATATACATGCACAGACACGTATGTACGTACCAACAGTTACTAAAGGGGGGGGGCATGATTTTGAAAGAGCAAGTGGGAGTACATGGGAAGGGAGAAATAATGCAATTATATTACAGCCTCAAGAATGATTACAAATCACAACAAAACCCATTGGTATCAGAAACTTGCAAGCCAAAGGAAAGACTTGAGCCCACCTCATCTTCCCCTTTCCCATCCCATCCTGGAGTCCCTTCATGCCCAGGTATTCTCCGCACAGAAGCAAGAATACTCAGATCAAGTCACTTTCTTTAGTTGTCTTCTCCGCTCAGAATAACCCTAAGCCACACATGACACAGCCCCAACATCACCTAGATGGGAACTCACTTATTCACTGTCTCACAGCCATGTTGATGTCTTTCCAAAACCCCGCACACAGCTGCCTTTCCTGCCTACCGGCCTTGGCATTTAGTTTCCACTGTGGCTTCCTTCACTAAGTATGTCTGAAGGAGAAAAGGGAAATAGCAGGCTTTGGCATTATCATTGGCAAGTTTACTTAGGAAACACAGGTTACACAGAAATAAGAAACTCTGTCTCGGCTAGGTAGTGGTGGCACTCGCCTTTAATCCCAGTGCTCGGGATTAAATCCCTGTGAGTTCCAGCCTGGTCTACAGAGCAACTTCCAGGACTGCCAGAGCTACACAGAGAAACCCTGTCTTGAACAAACAAAACAAAAAACTATCTCTGATCTGAAACAAAGCTAAAACTGAACTATTTTGTAAACCTGCTCACCGTTTCCTTCTTTTCTGAAAACAAAAACAGAAACAAACAAACAAGCAAAAAGAACACACACACACATACCTGCTTTCCACCAATACTCTCTCAGACAACAAATTCTGTTTGCTAAAGGTAAAATTAACCAGAAGCCTGAAAATTTCAGTTTCTGTAAACTTGCTTAGCTCTGAAGTCTCGTTTGGTCTAAGGAGTCACCCTAAAATAGAGATCGTAACAACGCCTAACCCTATAAACAATGAAACACTTCTGCCGGAGCCTGGGCAGAAGCTACGGGTGGGTGGGGGTTGTCACAGCTGCACGCTGACTAAAGTTTGCTGTTTATCTGAGTGCCGAGAACTTCTCGTCGGGAAAGGTGGAGGACACCCCAAGCCTGCACTTCCATGCCCCACACCCACCTTAAGTGTCCTGACAGTCCTGATTTCCACTGAAATGCTGTCAGAAGAGAACCTCCGAAACAACACAAATCGGACAGAGTCTGTTGTTACTCTCCATCTCACTGCTAGCACCTCGTTAGCTTCCTTTAGCAAGCACTTAATTTCTGGCCACTGTATTTTTGTCCGACGGGAGGTGACTCCGGGAAAGCGGGGGCCCCAGCTGATTGCTTCTCAGTCCCCAGTGCCCAGAACCGGGCTTGGCTCAACCGAAAAAGTCCGAAGTCGTAATGATGAACTTTACGTCCGTGGCTCACTCTTTTAACTGCCGGTTGGCGGCTCTGCATCTCCACAACTCCTTCCAGAGAGAGCTCACGTTTCCCCGGCCTCCAGGGGCCTGCGCCCAGCAGTTCCACCCGGCGCCGTCTCCTGACCTCTCGGTCCCCAGCGGCCAGGAAGAGTGACAAGTCCGAGGTCCTACCACCCCGGGAACCACTCACCTTCTTCTTCTCCAGACCTCCCATAGCTCCACGTTGAAGAGACCCCCGAAAACCACGCGCACAGGCAGAGCCACTTCCTTGCGCACGTGCTCCACGTAGGACCCCGAAGGACCCCACGCCGCCGGCTTTGGGCTGCCCAAAAATATGCCTGTGCGAATGCAGAGAACGTTAGGCTTCTGACGACCTCTTTACGACAAAACTTTCTAAAGCTCAACCATTGGGGTTGCTCTTTCTGTACTTATTTTCCAACTCTATGTAGACAAGCTTTAAAATAGAGTGGAAATTTAGGCAGTTTTATGACTACCGTAAATACAGTTGCTTGACAACGTGAGAGCCGCATTGCATTTCGGGATAGAGCAGGACCGAAGGCTGGGCGACCGCCCAGGAGCCTTCTGGGTTGCTGAAGGAACCGCGTTTCTTAGGTGAGAGCAGGGTTGAATTGTCGTGGCAACGGTTGCTAGGCGTTGTAAAACCTGGCTGGTCAGGCTTTACCTTGTTGGCCTGAAGAAGTTCAGCTGCTCAGTTTGTTTGTTCATGTTAGGGTAAGATGGAACAAAGGCCTACTTTTTTTTTTTTAAACTACATACGGCAGAGAGATTTGAGGAACCACTTAAATCTGGGGGAATGGGTTAAGGCAGAAGAGGTAGGTCTCTGAGTTCGAGGCCAGCTGGATCTATGTTGTGAGTTCCAGTATATCGAAGGCTACAAAAAGCGACTTTATTTAAAAAACAAAACAGAAAAACAACAAAAAGAAGCAGAATGGGAGACTCAACATGGTGGTGGAAGCCTGTAATCCCAGCACACAGGAGCCTGAGGCTGGGAAATCACAAGTTCCAGTCCAGGTTGGGCTAGAGATACTGTCTCAAAACAACAAAACCAAGTAAAGTACACAAAGCAGGGCTAGGGTGATGACCAGTGGACAGAATTCCTGACATGCAATAGACCTGCGCTCAGATCTGCAACACACACACAACGGTTGCAGTACCAGCCGGGCAGTGGTGGTGTACACCTTTAATCCCAGCACTAGGGAGATAGAGGCCGGTGAATCTCTTTGAGTTTGAGGACAACCTGGTCTTAAGAGCAAGTTCTAGGATAGCCAGGGCTACAAAGAGAAACTTTGTCTCAGAAAAACAAGAAACAAAGGGCAAAACAACAGCAACAAATCTTTGCAGTGACAGTGGGGCCGGAACCCCAGGGCTGATGGGATGGAGTGAGGATTCGGTGATCATGGGATAAGCAGGTCCCTTAAGTTTACTGACCAGTCTGCCTAGCATAACAAAATCTAGTAGCTCTAGGTTTAGTGAGGAATTCTGTTTTCTTTCTTTCTTTGGTTTTTCGAGACAGGGTTTCTGTGTAACAGCCCTAGCTGTCCTGAAACTTACTCTGTAGACCAGGCTGGCCTCAAACTCAGAGACCCACCTGCCTCTGCCTCCCAAGAGCTGGGATTAAAGACGTGCACAACCACCGCCCGGCCCCTGAATTCTGTTTTCAAAAAAGAAAAACATCAGCTGGGCAGTGATGGCACACATCTTTAATCTCAGCACTTGGTAGGCAGAGGCAGGTGAATCTCTGTGAATTTGAAACCAGCGTGGTCTACAGAATGAGTTTCAGGACAACCACAGCTACACAGGGAAACCTTGTCTGGAAAAAACAAGAAAACACCCAAACATTCAACGTTAAGACACACCTGAACTTATAGGTGCACACACCCAGATGAGCACTCTTAATGGTACATCTCTGAGGGGAACAGGTATCCTAGCAGTCGGGAGCCAAGGAACACCACAGTCACACCACACAACAAACATTCACAGAAAAGATGTATTGAGAAAGACACAAGAGTGAGTGGATGCTTCTGCTTGGAAGAGAAGCAGCAAAGCACTGAGCAGGAGGCAGGCTTTCTACAGGGTTTCTTGGAGGAGAGGTAGAGCTTTCCAGGGTGGGGTTGGTGGGATTCTGTGACTTGATCTTGTTGTTGGACATTTGCCTCTTGTAGGGCTGTTTGAGTAGTCTAGTAGTGCCTTGCCACTCGTACCTCAAGGGGCTCACAAACACTACCCGGGCATACAACACACACACCCCTAAAGTTGAGTAGAGTGAGATAATTTATGGAGTATTTCTTTTTTTTTTTTTTTTTTTTTTTTTTTTGGTTTTTCGAGACAGGGTTTCTCTGTGGTTTTGGAGCCTGTCCTGGAACTAGCTCTTATAGACCAGGCTGGTCTCGAACTCACAGAGATCCGCCTGCCTCTGCCTCCCGAGTGCTGGGATTAAAGGCGTGCACCACCACCGATGCACATTTAACACAGCTTAAATAAAAGCTTAACAAAGAAGTCTGTGTTGGGACTGAGGGTACGGCGTACGGCTCTGTAAGATAAAGCACTTGAGGGCAGTCATGAGGACTCATTTGGATCATCAGAGCTATGTAAACGAAACTATAATTCCAGGCCTCCTATAATAGACAGGAGCCAGATGCTGGAAAGCTCACAGGATGGCTAGAGTATGCATCAGTGAATAAGAAACTTTGCCTCAAGCAGTTGAAGGTGAAGACAGAAATCTGTTGTGGAATATTATTTGTAGGTGTGTTACTTTCGTTTATACTGCATTTGATTAACTATGAAGCTGTGATTCTTTGCCTGTCTAAAACACCTGATGATCCTAATAAAGAGATGAGCGGCCAATAATGAGGCAGGAGCAAGGATAGGCCAGGCTAGCGGGCAGAGAGGATAAATAGGAGAACTGGAGAGAACAAGGAGTGGAGGGCGGATGTCAGGGGTCAACCGCCCAGCCACCCAGTCAGCCGCAGAGTAAGAGTGAAAGTAAGATACAGAAGTAAGAAAGATAAAAGCCCAGAGGGAAAAAGTAGACGGGATAATATAAGTTAAGAAAAACTGGCTAGCAACAAACCAAGCTAATGCCAGCTATTCATAATTAAGAATAAGCCCCTGTGTGTGATTTATTTGGGAGCTGGGTGGTGGGCCCCTCAAAAAAAATCAAAACATCACACAAGAGATACCTGAAGTTATCATCTGCTCTCCACACTCATGCCAGGGCACACATGCACCTGCACTCACACACCTGCACACACAACACATACACAGTATACACACACATATAAAAAAAAAGACAATTTCCATGTTGTTTTCCTTAAGGAACAATCGCAAGATTCATATATTCACACCTGCTTTAGGTGCTTGTTATGTGTGTGCAATGCAGAAATATAGACCATTTGTGTCTTTTCATAGTGGCAAAATTTATTTAATAATAATTTCACAAGTATTTCAGCGTCTTTGACTACAACATATCAAACTGGTCCCAATTTTGTTTGCTGGCTGGCCATTGGCAACCACCAAGAAAGGCTATAAGTCAGATGACATATATGCTGACCCCTCTACAAGGGAACAGCTCTGAGACTGGATGAGACAGGATAAATCTTGTTGGCTACAGAGTCCTCATGACAGTTTGCTTATGCAGTCCAAATAGACTTATAAACTTAACGATGCCATTTACCTTAAACATAGAGAAGATCATCTTCAGCAGATGTGTGCACACTGCACATTCCATGCTTTTGTTGATGTATATATACATGCTACCTTTAAGAGTTGGTGTGTTTTCAGAACAAAAGGACCAGACACCAATGAAGACAAGACGCCCAGATGATCTCAGAATGCCTCTGTTGCAGTCTCCTCAAAACTCTCCATCTAGAACAACTTCAAAGTGGCTAAAAAGGTCCAGCCTCACAGACTACCTCAGGCAGGACTTCAGATAAACCCTGCACCTTTCTGTCACACAGAGACTAGACAACAAATGATACAGCTAATTCTCCTAGAACTTGATCATTATCCCAATTTTCTCAGGGTCCCCTAAAGATGTAACAGGCTTTCTTGTACCACCAGCCCCCAAATCATGACACAAAGACATATTACTAGTTATGAATGCTTGCCTTATCTTATTCTTGACCCACTAGCTCTTATAACTTAATTTAACCTGTTTCTTTTCATCTAAGTTGTGTCTTGGGGCTTTTTTTACCTTTCTTTCATCCTTTATATCCTACTCCATGTCTGATTGGCTGGCAGCTGGCTAGCTGACTGGCCTTGGGCATCTCCCTTTTTTTTCCTCCCTTATTCTCTCTTCTCTCTCTTGAGTTAGATTCCTTCTCCTACTCCTTCCTCTCTTCGCCTGCCTGTCCTGTCTATCCCTCTACTGCCTAGCTACTGATTGTTCATCTTTTTATTAGACAAATCAGGTGCCTTAGGCAGACAAGGTAAAACTTGCCACCCATCTTCACATAATGAAACAAATGCATCATAAACAAATTGTACAGATTGACAAATAGGACACAGGGGAAGTCAATTGTCAAACTTTGCCAAGAGAGGGTAAACAAGTCCTTCAAAATTCCTGCTTCACAGGAAAATCTGTCAGATATTCTAGGCCTGTAGGCTGAAGATGGATGCTCCAACATTGCAGAGGAACCTTGGGTAACTGTCCAGGCAGCCAACTGTCTGTCAATTCTATAGTTTTGGAAGTTACTTGCTCCGTCCTTTCTGTTTACTCAGGCAATATTTTATTCTTCTCAGGTCTCTGATGGGGTGGAAGACTAGGTAGCTATAGTTTTACTCTTTATTACCATATTCAAAAAAGAAATTCAAAAAAGAGATTTAAAGTTTATAAAGGTTGAGAGACATAAAAATCTTAATTTGTTAATCCAAGAAAATGTTTTAAAATCTAAAGTCATATTTTTAGGTTGATAATACAAGATATAATAAAAAATGACTTAGGTACAAAACTTTGGACTCATCAAAATAGGATAGATAATAGAGTACTGTCTCCAATTTGCCAAACATAAATGGAATTGACTTTGTGTATGAAATTGTTACTTGATAATTGTTCTTACTGTATATCTTACTATGTTAGAGTTAAAACCCTTCCTTTTTATTTAGACAAAAACGGGGGAAATGTTGCATGATGATTGATCACACTGTGTGAAGATGTGTCTCTGCTTTTCCTTGCCTGTTTAAGGCAAGTTCTAATTGGTTTAATAAAGAACTGAGTGGCCAATAGCTAGGCAGGAGAGGATAGGCAGGACTTCTAGGCAGGGATAGGCCATTTGGGAAGAATCTGAGGTGGGGGTTTTCACCAGCAAGACACAGAAGCAGATGTGTG